GCGGCGCGGAGGGCGCCGAGGGCGCGGGGACGGGAAGGAGAACTGGGAGGCGCCGCGGGGTCCTGGCGCGCGTAGGCCAGGCCGGGGCGGCGCGGGGGCCACTTACGAGTCTCCCAGAAAGTCGTGGAAACGGATGCGGCCGATGGTGGTGTTGGCCTCGAAGTTGGGAGCCTCGTCGCCGAGAAGGAGCCCTCCGGGCATGGCGGCAGCGGGGACGCGCGGACGGGGACGAGGCGCGGACGGGGACGAGGCGCGGACGGGGACGAGGCGCGGACGGGGACGAGGCGCAGCCGCAGCAGCAACTAAGCCAGTGGGCCCGCGCGGAGAGACTTTGGGCCCGGCGCGCGGCGGAGGGCAGGCCCCGGGGGCGGAGCCGGGGCGGGGCCCGTCCGGAGAGGCGGGGAAAGGGGCGTGGACTCGGGGAAATGGGCGGGGCTCAAACTGACCCGCCCGAGCTCTGCCGAGAAGGTTGCCTCCGCTCCCACCTAGTGGGCACTGAGGCCCATTTTTTCAGCACGTGACGCGGGGCTTAGTGCTGTCGCCCCCTAGAGGCCTGGGGGACTCTGACGATCAAACCTTGTGCTTTGGGATGGTGGGATTTTGGGGTGAAAGGAAGCGAAGCACAAGGGGGTCTCGAAGCGGAGAATCGCCGGGCCGATAAGCCCCGCGGCTTGGCACTGCCGCCCTGGGCGCCGCCCTGTCCCGCGCAGACCCTGCGTACGCCTGTCGGGGGCCTACGCCGACCAAGTGGGGGGTCGGTGTCCCCTCCACTCGCTCCCTTTTTTGGTGCGAGCGTGTGTGTGTCCACTGCCCCAGCCAGCCTAGCCCGATGAGTCTTGTCTGTCAGGATGTGGCAAGCCCCAGACTTGTAGAGGACCGTCCGTGACGGGAAGTGGCTTTCTTATTGCAGCAGAAATTCCCGTGCGGATGTCATTGCCTGGGTAATGTAACCAGCTTCTTTAGCCACCCTCCGCTATAGAATATTCAACGCAATTATCCTGAAATTTGAATATAAAATTTAAGACAGAACTTGTTGAGACCTACTGTGTGCAAATCAACTCTCACCCCAGGAGGCCAGATGTTTAGATCCATTGATTTTCTTTCTGTGCGCCAAGCGTGACGTAGATGATATTCTTGTTCTAGCGCTTTCTACTGACAGGTGACAGATGACAATCTGGACACAGTTAAGCATATATTCATAAGTCCTATTCAGGCTATGTTTTAGAGAGGATGACTGGGGGCTGCTTTGGATTGTGTGGTCTGGACTGGGAAAGCCTCCAGGATAACAGAGGCAAACTACGCAGTACATGGTCTCTGCTCCGAAAATGGTAACTTATTCCGATGATGATAATGGCTCATGCAACAATGCTTACTCTGTCTACTCTGTGCTAGGCCCTGTGCCGTGCAATTGTGATACAATGCAATTATGATACAGCGTAGGGTAGCTGCTGAGGGGGAGGTGCAGTGGTGGCAGTTCAGAGAGGCTCCCAGGGAAGAGGCTCCCGGGAAGAAGCTGCATGGTGGTGTTGACAGGAGTAACTCTCGTAGCTTGATCTGAGTTTCCGTCATCGTGGTGTGCTCCGTGTGTATGTGTGTGTTCACGCAGTCGTGTGTACTCAGCCACGTCTCCTCTGAATGAGAGGGGGCCATAAGGTAACCGGTAACAGCTTTAGCCATTTGGAAAACTCGTCAAAACTAATATAATTTAAGCCCTAATTTGACTCCAAGCTGTGGTTTTGAAAGTACTGTAATTCCTAAGGGGAGAAGGAACTGGGAAAGGGTAGTCTGACTTTAAGAGGCTATTAACCATACATTGGGGCCTGGGAATGTAGCTCAGTGGCATAGCGCCAGCTTGGCAAGCACAACAAGGTCCTGAGTTCAATTCCCTACACCAAAAACAAAAACAAAAAAACCATACATTGTATAGATGGGTCAGAAAAGAGGACACAAGATAAATATGAAAACAGATGATTGTTTTCTAACAAAGACGTAATCTTACCAACTGTTTGTTGTAAAGCAAGTAAATATAAGATAAATGCCTATAATTTACAGTGTCAGAAGCTTCACACAGGCCAAGCTCTTGCATTCTGTGACCTTGTTTGAGTTCGCCTTTGCAACATTTTAAATTCTCTTAAATTAGTGGCTAACATTTCAGCAACATATTTTTTTCCACAAAAAACTTGGATCTCTTTGTCTCCGTCTCTGTCTCTCTTTTGGTTTTTTTTGATGGTCTCATTATGTAGTGCAGGCTGGCCTTGAATTTGCTATGTAGCCCAGACTGGCCTTGGACTCACAGTGATCATCCTGCCTCAGCCTACCAAGTGCTAGGATTACAGGCATGCACCACCATGCCCCGGATTTCTGTCTCTTGAAAAGTCAGATCTAGCAACCAGGCCCACATTCCACTTGGCAAACGGTAGCTGGAGGTTAGCCATAGATTCTGCATTTCCTATCATTCCGAAGGACTGGTACCACCTACTGACAGCGTAGAATTAGGAGGAAAATGAAATAGGTCTTGCATCTGTATCTCTGTCAAAATTCTAAAAATGAAAGAGGGTCACCTGTTTCAAGGAAAAACCGAGTACATCACATTTCCTTGTAGAAGTGAAGAATATTCCCATGTCCTTCACATGTGAGCAAAGTGCAACAATACTTGTAGGTACTTGAGTTTAACCACCGACCCATAACCGTGGTGGGTGCTCTGTGGACCGAGCCCCATTCCAGAGGGGGAATATTTAACACTATTTTCCCAAGGACCAGTGAGAAAGGAAAATGGACACAGCGGGTATGCTAGAGAGGGCCAGAATGTGGAAAAGAGAGAGCTAGGCTAAGAAAAGAGGTGCAAAGGGAAGAGGGGATAAAGACTGTGAAAAACTATATGTATCATATTTTGTATATATAATAATTATATATAATATACAGTATGTTATAGTATATATATTATATATAAAATAATTTCAAGCAGCTTAAATGGTTGGAGAGAACATTGAAGTCCTTAGCATTTTCTCTGGAGGGACAAGAAGCAGGGATTGCAGAGATTTTCAGAGGGCTATAAATGTTTGCTGGTTCATGTGGTCTTTTCTATCCTTACTGCTTTGAAGAGACTGAAGAAAAGGGGAAGGGATTGGCAATGACCATTTGGAAGAACAACAGCTCTGTATGACGAATATGACCCTCCCTTGATTGTGAACCCCAAAGGTTTGGCTGGATCTTACTGATAAATATTTGTGAACTGTTAAATGTAGTGTGCATGAGGACTAGATTGCACAAATTATTAGAGAAGCATTTGGCTGCCTTCCTGTAGCCACAACAGAAAAATTTTTTGAAACCCTGCAGCTGGGAGTAAAATTGTAGCTAGATAAAAATTCTGCATGTGATAGGAGACATATGAAACTCAAAATTAAAAATTAGGATGAGGGGATTATATATTTTAGAAAATTTTGTATACTTTCTCATTAGACTTGATTGTCTTTTCTCTCCTGTTTCTCTTTCTCTCTGTCTGTCTGTCTGTCTGTCTGTCTCTCTCTCTCTCACACACACACACACACACACACACACACACACACACACTGTAGTTAGGGCACATGGAACTGTCCAAGGACATTAAGGCGGTACTGTTGACCTGTTGAGTGAGTGGACCTGTATCTCCACCGCTGTTCTTTCTCATGGCTAGTGTGGTCAATCTTCCTATTATATCTACAATGGGACTTCAGCAGTGCATACAGTAATCAAAGCAGGAAATGTATGCGTAAAAGTGAAAGAAAACAGAATGAATAACTCTTTGACAGGCTTTGGAGTTGCAAACTGACATTTCTTTTACCAAATAATTCACACTGGGAGTTTCCTGCCTATTTATTTCACAATGACTTTTTTTTAGGACAAAGCTTTGTTCATAAAAGGTGAAAAGATTCAATTTAAAAGCATAATACTTGAATAACTAAAGACCAAAAACCGAGTTGAAATTGCTGGAGAGATGATGAGCTAAGTGAGCCAGTTCTCCCATTTGCTCTTAGATAACCCAAAGAGGCCCATGCCACAAAGGAAAGAATTTGCAATTGTTACACAATGGACAATGAATTTAAAATTGTGAAGTTTCAAATCTCTGTATCTGCAGAGACTGTCAGAGAGGAAAGAGAGGAAGGGGAAAGAGGAAGAGAAAAGAGAAAAAGCAGACAGCAAAGAAGTCACAAGAGCTGGGGAAAGAGAGGGAAGGGAAGGACAATGCAGAAGAGAATATGTTTTGGCCAGGAACCCTATCAAAGGCCTGTCTTGCCTAGGCTCCTTCCTAAGGACAGCCGTCCACATGGCCCTGCCATCCCTGGGCATCAGTGATTGCATAGGACTGGCTGTCCGACTCAAAGACAATCAGCGTGCAAAGTGCCTAATACACTATGAGGGGGCCTGGCACAAGTGCTTGATATTTGGATCCTGTCTTGGTGACTGGACTTCAAGAGAATTCAGTTAGCAGTTCATAGTCAGCTTAGAAGCTGAAAGATGGTCAGATAAGAGAATAAGCACAAGTCCTAAGACAGCAAGGAGAACAGAGTGGGGAGTGGCAGGAACTCTAGATGCAGAGCAGCAGGTGACTGATGCTGAAGAACGCAAGATTACCTACCTAGACATTATAGCAGCACCGGACACTAACAACTTGATAGCTTGCAAACCCGAACTCAGAGGGCTTGTGTTGGGGTGAACCAAAGGAACGCAAGGGGGAAATGTGTGCAGGCAATAAAACTATTCATTGCCTAAGAATTCAAAGATGGTAATAATATCAGTCTGCTTGTTATTATCACCAGGACCTGGCACTTCTCAGTGATGATGTGATTAGATATTCCTGCATATTCTTGCAGGTCTGAGCTCTACACCAGTGATGGCAAACCTTTGAGAGCTTTCAATGATACAAACATCCCGCTGTGGCACGCATGCTGTAGGCTCACCAGCATGGCAGAATCGCTGCCTTTGCTGATAAGCTTTAATAGTGCATATGTCAATTCCAGATTAGGACATTTAAATTGATTATTTTTTTAACAAGTTAAATATTCTGCATAGAAATTAATTTGGAGGATTTCCTGTTGTATTCTCAGTCATGTAAATATGCAACATCATTCATGCTCAGAGTAATTTGAATATGGTTCTAACTGTCTTTCAGTGTAGTTTCTGTCTGCCACAGCTGAAGCAGTACTTCATGCATTTAAACAATAGACTGGAAATAAACAATCGGTCAGTGTTTGTAAAATTAAAGAAATGGCCCTTAAGTTATTTCATTCTGAGTGAGCACTGACAATTGTGTTTTTAAAACTACATTGTTAGAAGAAAATAAAGCAGATATAAATGAATGTAAAGATGTCCATGTTCATAGATTGGAAGACAATATTATTAGGTCAATACTATTCAGTCTGAAGATTTAATATAATTCCTGTCAAAATCTGGCCAGGTATGGTGGTGTACACCTGTAATCTCAGCTATTGAGGAAGCTAAGGCAGGAAGATTGAACATTCAAGGCCAGCCCAGACAACTTAGTGAGACCTTGTCTCAAAACAAAATTGAAAAGAGGCTAGGGATATAGCTTGGTGGTAGAGTGCTTGGTTAGTATGCACAGGACTCTGTATTCAACCCCTAGAACCTGAAGAAATAAAAGCCAAGCTGGGTGTGATGGTCCACACCTGTAATTCCAGCACTCTGGGAAGCTGGGGTAGGAGGATCTCAGATGTGAGCCCATCCCAAGCCATTTTGTAACTTAGTAAGACTCTGTCTCAAAATAAAACATAAAAATGAGGGACTAGAGAATGCAGCTTAGTGCAAAGGCCCTGAGTTCAATCCTTAGTACCAGAACGCAAACAAAATAAAAAACCAACAACACAACACAAAACAAAACAAACTTCAAGCGCCCTTTTCTCAAAAAATACAAAAATCTATCCTAATATTTGTATAGAATACTAATAACCATGAATAGCTAAAACAATCTTGAAAAAGGAGAATAACATTTGAGGCTTTATACTTTCTGATTTTAAAACATATTATAAAACTACCATAATGAAAATAGTATATTATCAGAAAGACTGATCTGTAGCCCAGTGGAAGAGACATCCCATAAGTAAAGCATCACAAATGGGATCAAATGATCTTTGATAAGTGTACAAGATCACACAATGGGAACAACACAATGTCTTCAGCAGACGGTGCTGTGAAAACTGGTTATCAATATACACAAAAATGAAATTAGACTCATATGTAAAAAGTAAATTCAAAATAGATTAAGGAACTAAATATAAAAAAATTAAAAGTATGGAAATTCCTCAGGGAAAGCATAGAGGAAAAGCTTTATGACAAGATTTGGTAATGATTTCTTGGATATGACACCAAATGCCTAGATGATAAGAGCAAAAATAGACAAAATGAGACTATATCAAATTTAACAACTTTTAGGTTTCAAAGAACACAATCAACACAATGAAATTAGAATGGGAGAAATATTTGTAAAGCACATATCTGACAAGGGATTAATATCCAAAAAGAACAACTCTAACTCAACAACAAAGCTGCAAATAATCCACTTAAAAATGGACATTTCTCCAGTGTGATATGTAAATGACCAATAAGCATGTGAAAAATGCTTAGCATAGGTAATCAGCACAGAAGTGTGAATTAAGGTA